AGCCCGTAGCCAGTTGCTTTACTGACTGCGCTATCCCGGCTCCTCACGTCCAGCCCGTAGCCAGTTGCTATACTGACTGCGCTATCCCGGCTTCTCACGTCCAGCCCGTAGCCAGTTGCTATACTGACTGCGCTATTCCGGCTCTTACGACCGAAAGATGTAGCAACTATCAAATTACACCAACGTGAGCAGGTGGATTGATTAATTTTTATTTACTGTTGTGTTGACGGCCAAATACCATCAATCAATTTTTTCTTTCCTCGGCACTGCAGCCCCAGTGGGCCTAGGCCTACCTCCACGAGCTTCTCCATTCACTTCGGTTTTTCTAGATCTTAGACAAATGGTAGGACTCCTTGGGCGGGTGATCAGCTCGATGCATTGACTAATTCTGCCCCTATATAAAGACTTTGCTTATGTTAAATAGCTTGTATTGGAGTCTTCCTGCAATTGGTATATACTACAATTATGTTGGAATAAGGTTTTGATGTACGTGTAAATATCGTTTCAGACTATCGAAGCAGTGTGCTACCGTGTCATATTAAGATTAGACACCATGTGTTGATTCATTCCTAGGCTTGGTTTGTTGTCTTCTGTCACTGTTATGCTATTCACTTTCTCTCGCTGCCTGAAACGTAATTTAATTTAACTCCAGTTGCGCATTTGTTACTGTTTGTATTTTAGTGTTTGAGTATCTCCTCTTTGGTAATTTAACATTCTGTTAATAATGTGGCGTATTTGTTCCGTGCAAGAACGGTTGAGCCCCAGAAAGAGCCGTTTATAAGTAACACACACAAGCAACAATGGAATAACGGGGATATTCAATCAGCTTTTCAACACCGGTTTGGAAAACATACTTCCGTGCAGACACAATGACTTCAGATCCTAACAGTGCTTAGTTATAACGTGACCTGTGTTTTCTGTGTGGTCTGCGCCACACAACAGTGGAACTGTGTTCTCTGCCTTGTCCGTGCTGCGGCTATATAACACGATGTTCCAGAATAGCCGAAGAAGGGTCTAGGAGAGTTTACATCATAGTTGAGTTCCGAGGTTACAGGGTGAGTGAATAAGAAACAGCAAGAAGATTTCATAGTGATTTGAAGTGCTAGTTTCTGTGTTGAGAGCAGTTACCAGGAGACGACTAGTGAAGACTGAGAATCCTAGTGCGTGTGTAACGTGTGTAAATCAGCGATAGCGCTGTGTTAATTGTAATTAAGAGAGGCTGTAACCGAAGTACTAATATACCTAATCATCCGATTTAGAACCCGTTAATTTCATTATGATTACCCCCCTACACGTGACAGTAATATACCCTAAGTGTACCCTGTTTTTGCACTATATTTAGTTCATTCATAANATCCTACCACAATGAATACAAACCAAATACGATTAACAACTACAACAATTACAGAGAAATACAAACATCAAGGATTACTGTAATCCTTTTCTATTTTATTACTGGTATATTGCTCTCTACTTATTGTTCTGGAATTTTTATTTGTATTCTTGTCTATAGCACTGTGTCCTCTTCCGTTGTTTACGACACACTAACTGTACAACCGTATTAGGGGTGTTAGTGGAATTAATTGCAGGGGAGAGAGGAGGTGGGGATTATGAGGTAAGTTAGGTGGGCTGCATGGGTCTCTGGATATGCTGTATGTATGTGGGTGTTGGGGTGTGATTAACGTTTTCCAAATTGGGTATGCTGCTAATATTATGTCATATATCCGTCATGCCCCTGCCCATAAATTAGGCCTAGTGATTTACGGCTCTGACAAGTCTCAGTTTACGTTCACAGAACCTCTAGTTACATGGTAAAGGTAAGAAATGTAAAGCTATCCATTTAACAGACTGTGAAGACCCATGGGGTTGTAAGACGTCGAGCCTCCCATATTTTCTTTAAACAATCGGCTCACAGAAGGCGGTAAATTTGTCGGCCTTACGCGTCGTCCGCCCTTTACCCACCCCATCAGGAAGACTCCAGAGGCTGAGCCCACTCCAGGGCCATAGTGCGGCTGTAAGGATTAGGTAAATTGGAAAAAAAAATCCATCTCATCGGGACTCGAATCCGCAACATTCCGACTGGTAGCACAGTGCATCAACCAACTACACTATCGCGTGCGCCCTCTAGTTACATGAAAAATTGAAAAAACAAATCCGGATATTATCAGGACTCCACACAAAACGTGCACACCGAATTTCGTGTTGAGGAAACTCAAGAACGGGTTGCTTAGAAGATTAATATGATCGAGAGATAATATTAAAGAACGAGAACTGAGGATCTTATAGCGATGAAATTTCGTGATGTAGTTACACTCTATATACCGGTGAGTCAGTGTCAACATTTCTCAAGAACATATTTCATTCACCTTCAGGTTTAACCGAAGACTGAAGCTGTATCTTCCATCAAAACGTTTGTTCTCACAACCATACTACCAGGGGTTACAATCCAAAACACCACGTGATCATTAAGATTTAAATTTGTTCTCTGTGACTTTGTGTATTTCAGTAGATAGATACAAACTGTGCAGGGGCACCCACTGCCTCCATCTTCATCATCCAAACTCCCGCCGTGTACTTTGCTAGATACGTACCAACGTAGATGGAGCCAGCAGACGCATCGCAGAATACCGTAACCTTGATGCTCATCGACATGAGAACCTCAGATCTCATATTAATATTTTTTTTATTTAAATTTTACCAATCAGAATATTACATAATTCTATAAGCTAAAGTGCTGATTACTCATTAGATATACTAATGACTACTGGCATGAACAGGTTGATATCCAGCGAATAATCTATAATTAGTATCTGTACATTAACATATTAATATGGATCTTAGAAATATGCATTTGGAGGCTGGAAGGCAGATGAAACTGGTTAAATAGGCTATCCATTATTAGTGCTGAAAATTTAGGCTATACTACCAGACAGCTATTTCAATAAAATTTATGAAAATTGCGGTGATTATGAAGAGTAATATTATTTTGGATGTGACGCCGAGTAGTCTGGTTGAAATTTACTAACGTTTCAGAGTCACGTATATAGCCGATTACTCCTTTTAAATAATATACTTCACCAAATTTATGTATACAATTAATTTTGTGATAGTCATTGTATTTTTTAAAGATTTAATCAATTGTGAATTTGTAAAATTACATATATTATTACGTGTTATATTGCGCTATGAACTATATACCGAGTAGAGGATGACGCAATATAGCCTGGCTTGAGGAGTTTTATAATTCCGGAGTTCCCCTGTTGCTCGGGGATGTATGATGCAAGTTTCATAAGCAGTTAGCTAGGGAATTCCCAGTGGTGCAGCCAATCAGGACTGTTAGTTAGCCAGTGTGACGTCATACTAACAATAGCTTGACATCCTACACAGTTCTTTGTTTCAGACAGACGCGCCCTGGCTCTCAAACAAGCAGGGCAGGAACACACACAACGACATCGGTCGTACGACGTCCGTACGATTCATGTCACATCAAGTAGTAGAATATAAAGTGTAGTCTTAGCTTTCATACGTGACGACCTGCGACATCTACCGTACGACAGTCGGAGAGCAAAGAAATGTGTTTGGTCGTTCTACTGTGAAAATGAGGTCGTACGGCAAAAAATCGTACGACTTTTTTCCGTACGACCGATGTCGCTGTGTGTTCCAGCCCTAAGACGTGCGTCGCGCGTCCCGCCCATAACAAAGGGCTATACCCAATATAGGCTTCAGATATAATTCAATTACGTAAAAGTGCGTTAAAGTGTCTGTGAGAGTGTTGTCTTTGGTTTGCGGGCTCTGTTGTTGGAGCCAAGGCCCACTTACGACTCTGAGAAAGATCAGGTTTTCACCAATGTGAGCTGGCGCCCAGTACTTCGAAGTCATTGTTAGATAACTTATTGAGAGCAGCTGCGTCCACCTTAACCCAGTTACTGAAGCTGCATCCACCTTAACCCAACACCATAGGTGAGTGAGAGTGAAAGGGGAAGGACAGCTCTACGTACTACCTCCACCATCATAATTGGAAGATAAGTTGAGAAAGCAACCAAGAAGAAGCAAGCAGAACAAACAACTGCATGCTTGTTGCTTGATTGGCTTAATCTTTGCCCCCTTAAGATACTGACAATAACTTCCTATGAAACGTCGGGAAGCTTCTACCAGACAAAATGGTGTAATATCCCAGAATACAGTACTCTTCAACCGATGAAGGCTTTCTGAGAATCTCAGATTAGTTACAAAAAAAATAAACTTTCTTTCCATGATCTTCGTATGTCACAAAATGGCTGCTGTGAGCCCTAAGAGAGCAATGACCATTTACTTGTTTCAGGAGAAGACGAAAGCTACAGGGCCAGTGAACTGAACTCCCATGGGCCAACAGTGGGGGGCTGGCAGTCAGCCCCAGACTGCTCCTATCCACAAGAACTCATCCTGCAGCTTCATTCAACAGCGACGGTGCAAAAGATTCAAGTCTTGGCACATCAGTACCTCATTCGTCAGTATCATTAATAAATCTGGTTATAAGAATTTGTAGTAAGCAAGGGCGCGGTGACGAAGCTACAGGCTGGACGAGCGATGAATCATTGCTGGATTCTCGGCAAGAGCGAGACATTATCCTTGCCCACAAAGTCCAGACTGGCTCTCGGGTCTGCTCAGCATCTTATGCAGTGGGTGCAGGGGGAGGTTCTTTTTCCGGGAGTATAGCGGACGGGGCGTCAAGCTGACCACTTTCCTCCATCTAATACCTATGTGAAACAATGCGCGGAACTACATCTCCACCCATCATTCGCCTTCATCATGTAATGCTTAATTAAGTAGGGCAATAGCTTTTTCACAAATTATGGGCGAAGGTGTGTGTGGGGGGGGGGGGGAAATCATGCATCTGACCCTGCCCCTAGAGTTTCTGAAGGCATCACTATTATATCAGAAGTAAATGTACTAATATAAATACCAGAAATTAAACTGACTTTTAATGGAATTTATTCTTCTATTCCGAATACTGCAGAGCGATCAGTAAAAATATTCTTAAGTTTGCAAACATGTTTTCTGACTACCTCACCCCCTTAAAAAGTTCTAATTGTGCCCATGCCATTGATATATGTAAAGATTAAAAGTTCTGGCAAAATTAATTGTTACCATGCCAAGAAATGAAGGAACTTCTCTTGTCCAGAAAGACGGACTGCTTTTACTCTGATTATATTTGGCGTTTCGTAATATCAGTGAAAACAGGCTCGTCAGTAATCTCTGAAGATATGCAAACAAGAGGAAATGTTTTCTGCAAGGAACTTATAACAAAAGAGCCGAAGGGCTCTAATTACTGGCATCTGAAACTTTTCCATCGTCCGTCTTTCTAAAGAAGTCGGAAGAACACAATATTTCGGATAAATGATCTGCTTCCGTCCTCATGCGAGGGGATGGGAGACGTCTACTCTATTGCGTCCGTTAGCCAACCTCAGTCGCTTTGCTCTTTAGCGTTCCTTAGAACGCAGTACCCCTCGTTGGTATCTCCACCTTATCGTGGTGAGGGTGTTTGAGTATGCCAAGGACCCTGAGAGCTATACCAGTGGTAGCGTAGCTACTGGCAGGGCCTCCCTTGCTGGACAGGTCAAAGGGTAGGCATCAGACGAAGAGAGACACCGAAAACTGATGCCGGAAGCAGCGTCATCAGCGGCGACTTGAAGCACAGAGAAAATGATGCTCGAGATGGTTCAAGTTAGTATAGCAACAGGCGTGACCAGAGTGGTTTGAACGGCTGTTGTACTGCGATGTGGAAAGCAAATGGAAAAACTACCACATTATCACTATTCCTGGATAGTCTCTTTCCAAAAACAGAAGATCGCATTAAATGGAGAAACTGTTTTGGAAGAGGCTGTGGACCTGTCATCTGACAGATTACTGATGAATGAATGAAGAACCCAGTAATTCTGGGTGCTTTACCCCGTCGTCAGAACCCAGATGTAACGATCTGGAGCTTTATTCGAAAGGTGCTCAGTCGAATCTCGACTAGGACTATCCCCAGGTTTTTATGGCTTTCCTCAGTCTCTCGAGGTAAATGCCTGGCCAGTATATCGATTAGGACATGTCCGTTTATTCTCAAGTCCTTTCGATATCATCACTCATTAATCATCTTACCAACGAAAGTTAAATAGCCTCGATACTGAGAGCGCCGTTAGATATCCCAGACACAGAAAGGGTTTAACTAAATTCATCGTTGCAGGAGGCCATGCACACATTTTGACACATCAATTTCTCATAAGACAGCATTAGTCATAGCAATCCAATGATAGAGCTCAAGCACAGAAAAATGTATTTTGGTAGTACTGATCTTTCACCTCGTATATAGCAAGTTCAGAAATCATCACCCCAATATTAGTAAACTGCAAGCTCTAATAGAGCGTTAAATTAGGATGCCATGTTTGAAGGATTCCTGGGACTAAAAAATTCCTCTTAAACGGCATAGAATGACTGTACATGGTGCACTGGACAGGATGGGTAAGGCAGTGGCGGTGTCCAAGCCTTGCATTTGCTTAGAGGGGCCAAGAAAGAAACACCAGAAGACGTCACTTAGCACATTCGATCTGTATTCTCGAATTTGAAAATGAGATCTCTCAAATTTGGAGTAGAAAAACTCAACAGCAATGTCTAGTTGGAACCTTACAGTTTTCGCTAATAGCGAATTTTTTTTCATGGATGCTGCAGCATCTTAGTGGCTACTACTCCAAGATACCTCTCTGCCACCAGATCCAATTCGGAAGAGCTGTGAAACCATCAAGTGTGCCATCCAAGAAGTGTGGAAGGACAAAAAAGCGAGAAAATGAAGCTGTCCACTCACATACACAAAATTCTTGTGTGAATCTATGTGGTGGTTTATTGTGTTTTGTTTATACTTCAGCACATAGAGCATCGAATGGTAGGACAATTTGAATAATTAATTGGAAAGAATTTCGAAGCAGATGGTGGTGGCCTGCATAACCAGAGGAAACCCATGGAAACCCTGTGAAATGGCAGTTGTTCCGGCCGAGTCTCGAACAGAGCACTGAGTATAAGTTAAGAGCGCTATTGCTATTCAAACCTTCTCAGCGGAGTCAAATTATCTAGAGCAGGCATGTCAAACACAACTTGTACCGAGGGCCACCTCAGCCCTATAAATAATAGTCCAGGGCCGCACTTCAAAATAGAAATATACATTAGATTTTGATACAAGGAAATTTAATTCTATTTATTATTTAGGAATAATTTCAATATAATTACCTAAAGTCACATATCTTGCAGTTTTAAAAAGCAATAGAATGCCATTTTTTGACAAGTATCAAACAGCTTTTCAATATGTAAAAAGAGAGATTACACAAGAAATTATGTTAGAAATAGCAAAACATTGAATTTCCTGCAGCCTGTTAATTTATGTCTGCGTGAGACTTCTTGTCTTCTGGTCTGTTGGAAAATTGTCTTTACAAAAAAATATTTCTACTAAAATTTTAATATTGATTTCAATATCAATTAGCTGTAAAAGTTGAGGGGCCGCACTTTGTGGCTATGGGGGCCGCATGTTTGACTCGGCTGATCTAGAGAATAAAGATGTACACGTGTCACAGGGAAATGCTGTGTTTGTGTGTGCTGAATTAAATGTCATTAATGTTTAAATATATTGTTGGCCCTCTGTTTTTCTGTTAAATAATGACAATGTTCTATATAATATGTCTTTTCTGTTCTAATTCACAGGATTTACCAAAAAGAATGTCAGGATTTCGGGTGCTTGTGGTTAAGGAATGGAAACAGATATGACGATATTGTTTGCAGTAATCCGTTCACCAGTTGAAACTGTTTCTTTGCAGACAAGTGTAAAGTTGTTAGATGCGAAACACTTCATAGTGAGCGCCATCTGCCTATATCTTGCCAGACGTGCTGTAAAATGCCCTTTGTAACATCTGCAATTGCTGCAGTGATCCGTGCTTTGAGTTCGGTCAGCGTATTCGCGGTTTGGCTGTGCACATGTACTTTCACATAACCTCAAAGAGAAACGTTCAAATGAGTAAGATCAGGAGAACGAGGAGGCCACGCAACTGATCTTCCTTTTCCTATCTATTTACCAAGAAAATTCACGTTTGGAAAGCCGTGGACAATGTAAATGAAATGAATGGCTACACCGTTCATTTGAAGAATACTGTCACGCACTGGAGAGACCAATAACGAGGGTTCTGGATTGGATGAACGGATTTATTTACTCCTGATACCACCAGTAATTATATGTAATTATAGCGCTATCGCTGTTTCTACACTTTATAATTCACTGTTACACACACACACACACGCACACACACACACACACACACACACACTAGTGCTCTCCTGGTAACACGGAAACTATAAGTATCACTGAATTACACACTCCAAATAGTACAAATAAAGTCTTCTCTTCACAGCCTCCCGTACAGAACTGAACGCTGAACTCACCTCTCCTGGACTGCCTTCTCAAAATCAAATTCAAAGTCACATTGCGACTGACAGTCAGTCAGTCAGTAAACCTCGTGTCGGGCCTCATCTGGGATTCATGACCAGACATTTATTACTTTTTGAAAGATACGGCCTTATTTTTGTGGGGCGCCTTCCATGACGAGAGGAAGGGTCTGTATCTTTTTTTTTTTTTGTATATGTTGCTGACCCTTGTCAGCGCAGTCATTATCGGGTCCAAGTCTCTTGGGACTCGCGACCATATTTTACTGGCTCAGATTTGAGACTTCCCTTTTCGTCGCCTTCTACGACTCGCATGGTCACGGTGCAGGTATTCGACCCCTTCTCCGATTATTCTGGAATTTCTTATAATTTTTCGGCACGGGCCCCACAGAAAATACGTGTCACGTATTAGACTGCAAGTTCAAGTCAAAGCCACATCGCAACGGATGGTTGGTCAGTCAGTCAGTCTTGGCAATGAGCCCAATCTGGGGCTTATGACCAGATATTTATTACTCTTTGATAGTTACGGTCTTATTGTTGTTGGGCGCCATCTCTGACGAGAGGACGGGTCTGTCTTTTGTTAGAGTCATTGTCGGCAGTAGTAAATCACTTGTCATAATGTAAAGGATATTTACATTTTACATGATAAATATATTAATAAATATACAAAATATATAGGGCACCTGTCAGTCTAGGATCAGTACAGCAGATTATGCCCTATATCTAGTAGCTACCACTACAACGGCAGTCTAGTCACTTGAACGGTCGTATGTTTGACCGCCGCAAAATTTTAGCCTCTTATACTTTCTATGTCGGGCTTCACCTTGAAAATGTGAGTTCGTTGGTCCGTTACCAGCACCGAGCGTGGTGCGGACGAGATACAAAACACGCTCATTTATTTTTGCATGTTGGAACGTGTTAACCGAGCCGTTGTTTAGTAATACTTTGAGGAAATTAGTTAAATTGTGATTTTTGTTGTTGAGCTGCGGAAGAACATGGTTTCCAACATGTCTAAGGTGTTCTCATCAGAGAGAAAAAAAAAGGGTGGATGACTCTGTCACGTGTCAGTGAGTATTATATGTTCACTTTAGGACTATCCCGGTCATGTTATAATAGTTCTCTGGAAGTCTAAATCATATACGAACATTTATGACAACTGACACATTACAAGCTTTGTCCGTTAACTACAGCTGGGTTGCGCGCGCAACTTATATCACTTAAACTGTTATACTGCGAGTAACAACACCGCCATATCTGCTTTCGCTCCAGAGTTGCACGTTCTACATTTCTCGGAATTCTTTCCGGCAGACCCTGTATTTTCCATATCTCATCCATACATAATATTTTCATTTGAATGTGTCATCTAGAAGAGTGTTTCCCAAAGTTGGTATCTCTGCCCCCCATCGGGCCGTAAATTTTTCTCCCGGGGAGAGCTTAAAATGGTAATTATTTAATTATCGCATATATAAATTGACAAGAAAACGCCACATTAAATTAAAGAACTTAAATGTAATAGAAAATTAATTCCATTGATAATTACATAGTAATTGTTTTGAAGCCCATAAATTATTTTTTAAATCTTTTATGGTAGGTCAGGCTTGGGGGGTTTAAACGTTTGTATTCACATCAGAGAAGCCTCAGACTAAAAATGTCTGCGAATCACCAGTCTACAAAGCATCTACCAACATGGTGTCATATCCCCTAAGAGAGCGGTGTTGTCTGTTTACAGCTCAGAAGTTGGAATTGTGGGCAGGCAATGAAACCGATGTTCAGCTATCACCAACAACAGCAGAGTTTGAGTACCTTGGTTTTATTACGCTCTCGGATAATCAAACAACCGGATTCACATCACGGGAGTTGAAATCAGTCACTGTTCCATCTTGCGCCGCAAGATACCTCAAGTTGAGACTTCATGCCAATCATCCCAATTCACTCAATGTGCACAATCAGGTACCAACTTTGGGCTGGAATACACACAGCGATATCGGTCGTACGACGTCCGTACGGTTCATGTCGCATCAAGAAGTAGAATATAAAGCGTAGTCTTAGCTTTCATACGTGACGGCATGCGACATCTACCGTACGACAGTCGGAGAGCAAAGAAATGTATTTGGTCGCTCTAGTGTGAAAATGAGATCATATGGCAAAAAAAAAAATCGTACATTTTTCCGTACGATCGATGTCGCTGTGTGTGTTACAGCCCTTAGTCAGCATAGATTATTTTTCTAAGATTTGAAGTTTTCGCTAAGTTGAAGGTTCACAATGTGGTTTTCTCGGATAGTTGGTTAATCGGTACCGAAGCCCTGTCTGCATTACGTCAGAGGCCCCCCCCCCTTTTACTACCTTCCCCCTTCCACTATTCCACTTCATGGTTCCGGACGGCTGAAGTCCACCGCGAGTGTTCCATTCTGTTGTGGGAGCTTGAACTGTTCAGTCGATTCACTCTTTTCCTGGTCTGTACGATTTTGATTGGTTCATTGCCGGAGGCTTATTACCTCCAGGGACTTACATTGTATTCGCATTTAGTATTTAATATATATTGTCATTTTATATATTTGTTACAGTGTCTTTGAGTTGGTACGTCCTACCCAAAAACCAAATTTCGGTCTTCAAAACCTTTTCATGTTTTAACAATGATTCCTCCTAGTACGTCCCTCTAGGCTGCACGGTTCCACAACCTAGAGGAACTTAATATTGAATGATTTCTGGTTTACTTAAAAATACAGAGTGCCCATAAATCCCATAATTAATTTATAGCTATAACAGTAACTTTCATTGCTTTCATTTTGCAGAACACAAATAATAATAAAAGTAAATGATGAATGTGTTACAGTTGCATCACTTCAAATGGAAACGGGGAATTAGGAAAGAGACTGAAAGAATATTTCACAAGTCTGCACCTATCGACAAATCAATCTGCGATTTGCACATTAAAGGGGGAGATATGGAGTTATGGACACTGTATTGGGCCCTATTCTTGTTACTGTTGCTTTACAACACTGCTGGCAACTGAGCCATATTACATAGCGCCAAACGATAGGTGCAATTTTTTGGAAATGATTTGGAAGGAAGCGGTTGTGACCTCATTTACTGTCCATAATTTGCCTAAAAGGATCGAGGAAAAACACTGAAAATCACAGCCACGATAGGTGTCCCATCAGAGTTTCGAACCGATAACCTCCTGAATACGTATCACAGAGTGTTACCGCTATGCTAACCCGCACCCGCCCAAACCGTTCTTCATTTCACCACCCTCACAATACCTGGTGAGGAGCAGAAAGCATGCACCTCTTCTTATTACTGCGTGTCGACCAAGTCCTTAACTCTATGGCTCTACAGCCTACCTTGGCAGCGTCCTTGACTCTCTCTCTCTATGGCTCTACAGCCTACCTTGGCAGCGTCCTTAACTCTCTCTCTCTCTGGCTCTACAGCCCACCTTGGCAGCGTCCTTGACTCTCTCTCTCTCTATGGCTCTACAGCCTACCTTGGCAGCGTTTTCAGTTTCTTAATC